GGGGCGGGCTACAAATAAAAATTTATTATTATTTATTATTATTATAAAAGGTGTGCAATTTTCACAGGTGGTGGTGTGGTTTCCATAAAAGTGTGTGGTTTACTGGCAAGCTGTACAGCTTTCATACAGAAGTGTCACAATTTTCTGTTGTTCCAGAAGAAAAATCATTCCTGAGTGTCTTGGGGTTCATGGCACTAGGCTAGCTGACACAGATTTCTCTGTCATCTTTTCTCTATAATGACTGCTGCTCCTCATCCTTTCCCTAAAAACATTACATCCAAAAACTTTGGGGGATTCTGGTAAATGAATAGTATGTGTACAGGGAAGTGGTGGCACCTTCATGAACATTAGCCATTTTAGGCACATGAGGTAGATACTGGATCCAATCCAAAATAATTTAGGGGCAGTATGTAATCAACTTCTCATTCTACTCAATAATGCAAACCCAATTTATCATGATTTATTATCCCAGGATGTAATTATCCTGTAATCCTCTGCTATAGCAAATATGTTGTGACTGAGGTTTTATCATTGGTGTTCTGTTTGCATTATGCTTGTGTAGAAGAAAATGTTTTTCTTTTTTATTTCCTGAAACACCAGTTCCCATTTAGCCATCTGTAATTTCAATGAGTTTATGAATCATATCCTATTTAATTAACAGTCAATGAATTAAACATAAAAGCCCTCATTTTATGAACAGTCTAAAAAGTAAACCCAAACAATATTTGTGTTTGTCCACTGTCTACCATAAGCCAAGTAATAAGTCAGAAAAAAACCCTTCCTCTCCAACATCATGTGTATATGTTTCAAACTAAACTATTTGTTCAGTGAATATGCCTCTCTCTCATTCAGAAACAGATCACAAGAAAGCTTCTTATTCATTACTCTAAATTATTCACAATTTCCATTATTTCCATAAGTGAATCTTGAGTTATTTCATTGAAACCATTCCAAGCTTTGAATACTGTTCATCTTGAAATGACACATGAGTCATATATTATGGAGCATTCTTTGTTACTTAACAGAAAGTGAATCTAGATTCTAAAACCAAGTTTCCATAAGAAATATGTTCCTTAGTATATGCACACAAATTTATGCTGTGCATGTTTAAATGGAGTTTTCCTAAAAAGCAAACAAAGAAGAGCACAGAAAGCAATGACACATTTGCATAGCGTCTTTGGAAAACTGCTGTGTTCAAAAACAAATCAAGGTGTGTGTGTGTTTTTAAATGTAGAATTGACATTAAAATGCTCAGAACAACTTTAAATGTAGCCCTTCTGATTCTTAAATGATTTAGATTGTTTTACTTTGGAAGATATTTAGATGGGTGGAATGGGCAATGACAAAATGCTTGCAGTGTCTATACAGTAGCTTGGATACACAATGCTAAAAAAACAGTGGTTTTATTATTATATATTTATATGGAGCCACCAATGTACATAGTGCTGAACAAAAATAGACAAATAAAAAATACATTTCTGCCAAAGACAAATAATCTAATCTTTTGACACTCAGATATTTGTTATGCCCCCCTTTCTTTTAGCAGCACACCCTGCAAAAGAGGGTAGCTTCTCTTAAAGTAAAGAACTTTCTAGAGCAGTATCCTAGAGCAGGCAAGGGACTGCTGAGAGAAGTTCAGCATACAGAGAAAAATCTTTTCCTTGTGCATGGAGTGAGATTTTGTTCACTCTCTTCTGTCTTGCTTGATGTGTAGTAACAAAAACAAAACCTTTGGCCCACCAGAGATGTCAATTTACAGCACTGTCTGAGGTAAACACTCTCAGAAATAGCTAACAGTAGCAGAGTACAGAAGCACCAGTTCAAGTTAAATATTGGCAATGCACTGACCAACCTTGAATACAATTGCCCCACTGTTTTCATGGGAGGTCTGTTCCAGACCACCACCATCCCGCAAAAATGCAAAAACACCAATATTCAAGCCCCATTGGTTTGAATGGAGGGATGCATCCACGTGGGCCCCAGCCACAGGGGCATGCTCCATTTTAATGCCCTTTGTTTGCCCCTGCGAACAGGCAAGGGACACACTCTCAAAGTCTGCAAAAACTGTAACTGTAAACTCACAGACACTTGTTAATATTCTTCCAAGTCCTTGGAGGTTCTTTATCATACATTGCAATAACAATATTTATAAGTATGTACAAACTTTCCTCACAACTCCTCTCAACATTCACTGTCTGTACTATAACAATCCGACCAACTATCAACAACCCACTCTCTAAAAACTACTATCTTCAACTCACACATGCGCTGAATCACAGTGCAGTTATATAGAGAGTTGCTTAATGGTGATCACCTGTTGCCACTTAAGATGATGCCATCCCTTTTGCAAGCCTTTGCATCATGTCAAGTGCTGTGACTTAGCAATCTTAGCCATACAAAATATTTTTACCATTTAAAAAAAAATTCTAACAGATCTATGCCCACCATGTCAGGTTCCAGCTTGGCCAGATTATGAGTCAGTAAGATTTCAGGGTCTTGTGTGGTACTCATTGTCTATCTGAGGGGTCAGAGATGAGTAGGGCAGCCCAGTTTGGACACAGAACATATTCTGGAGATGATTAGGAAAAAAGATGCAGGCAACAAATGTCAATGGCAAGAAATACATAATTTTCAAAGGTGTCAGATAAAGTTCTATAAAGTCCAGAAGTGGGTGACAAGAGCCCATTGTAGGCAAAAGGGCTGCCAGCTCTGCCAGATATTCTTGATGATATTTATTTTTTCAAACTGAGATTGAATTTCTACTTGTTGTTTTGCTATGGTTGTGTGCCTTCAAGTTGTTTCCAACTGATGGCAACCCTAAGGTAAATCTATCATATTTTGGGGGTTTTTTCTTTAGAATGTATGTTTGGAAGGGGTATAAAGAGGAATAAATCTGAGGAAGAAGCCTTTATCTTCCTCTGAGACTATAGGGCCTTTACAGACTG